GGGGGGGGGGTGAGAACGAAATGGGGAGTAGGCGGGTAGGCTTTGACAAGTACGATAATTTGTCTTCGCACTGGTAAATAGTCTGCATATGTGGCGGAGCTGGTGCAGCATCAGAGCTAGTCTACGTCTACGTTCTACCCAGAGCAATAAACACCATCATATCTTATCTCAGTGCAGATTCACAAGACTGCAAAAGTGCTCAACAAATTCACAAACTCAGCGTTTACTCTCTCTCAAAGTAATTATGCCCCCGGAAGGAGCGCACAGAATTGTCGTTCGTCTTTACCGACACCCCTAGCTGTTAAATCTAGCAGTGTTTCCGTAGAGCAGCAAAATTCTTGTCTGTCTCTGATCCTTCCCCCACAAAGTAAGGTTCTTCGCTGGCGCTAGCATAGCAGACTAGATCTAGCAGCGAGGAGTGCCGGTCGGTCGTGGGTGCCTGCCTGCCGTACGAACGTGGGCCTCCATGTGGGTGTTTGTGCATTCGTGTGTGCGTGTGTGTGTGAGGGAGCCAGCCAGCCAGTTCAGTAACAGAGACGCAGAGAAGGCACGGACGGACTCGCGCCGAAGAGAGAGAGAGAGGAAGAAGCGGCGAAGCGACCAAGTCGCAGTGGGTCCTCTTGTGTGTGTGTGCAATCTATGAGCGGGTTATCCACGCCGCAATCAACTCAGTAGTAGCAGATGTCGCGTACCCCTGCTTGTTCACCATCTAACCGGGTAGATCTGAGTGTTTGTATGATCTCTTGTTTTGATGTTCTTGTTTTTTTCTTAATATTTTTAAACACTTACGAAAACAAGTATTGATACTGTTTGAGCGGACCGTGCATTCATTTATCAGTCGCGGTTTTTTTTCATTATTCGTCTTGATAGAGTTTCTAGTACTTTTCTAATTAACTGTGCATTTAGATCTAGATTTAGATTAGTTCGATTAAGATTTAAAAGTTTCTTAAAGTTTGTGAACTGAATTAGGCGAACATATTCTTCACAATTGATATTCAATGGTATTGTGTGAGTGTTCAAATACATTCTGAAGAAAAGTTTTACAACTCTGCAAGCAAGTGGTTGGGCTTAAAATAAATGGTGTGTGTGTTTTTCTTTTCTTTCTCTTTTAATGTCTAGAATTTGTGCAGGTGCCATTTACTGAAATTATACCTACACCTCTATAAATCTCTGTTTTGATCTGTGACACCCTGTTATCAACAAGATTCCCTGACGGATTAAATTAAAACTGTTTTACGTGAGAACAAAACGGACCCGTGTGGATACATACCCCGATAACGCTAACAATGGACTTTCAATACGATGCGACGAGGAAACGTTTCAAATGACAGCTCCACTTGAACCTACAACCCGTAGAGTTTTGATTCACGAGGCGGGTTTGAGTTTGAAGTGAAAGATTCAGTTTTGCTTTTGTGAGTGTGTGTGTGTATGTGTTTGCCTTGAAGGATATCAAGTACCAGTTTCATTTCACGACACACAATGTCTTTGGAAAGTTTACCTGCCCCCTCGCTTACCTGGAATGTTAGATCTATCTTTCTGGCTTTGATCTACATCAGCACTTTACTGACAGGTGAGTACGCTTTACGAATATTACTACCGATATTTATGACTACTTGGTTGAATGATTTTTTTTTTTACTGTTGGATGTTAATGTCTCAGTTAAAACATTCCGCTTCTGAATCTTGAAAAGGCTACGCATTATTTTAATTCTATCTAGTTCTAGCCTGATTTCCAACGTTCATTTTTATGAACCAACGTGACTGAACCACAGTCAAAATCGTTGAAAACGGCCACTCAATGTCAGGATTTGATTAAAATGGTTGTCTTAGACAGGTGGACGTTTTGAACAGTGTCATTATAATATTTTTTAACTGCTGAAGGGGGGACCGGGCAGTGGACGTTTGTATAGAGGTGATTGTTGTGAACAGTTGGCCGTTAAGGCAAGTTTGGCGGAATTAATCGCCAAATCCGGAATCGTTTTAACCGAATTCTTAAACTAAAAAAAAAAGCGAAACGAAATTGAAGTTAAACTGAAGACTGTAGAGAAATCTTTTCTGCAGTCCATATCAACATGTGGTCTTGATACCGTTATGACTATGATAATTCGGAAGTGATAACATGAATCATTATTGTCATTTTCGGTTTCATTCGTACTAGATCTAGATGCACAACACCAACGACATTGACAACAATACCAAAATAAAAACAACAACAACCACTTCTACACCAACAATAACAACAATTGTTACTACTGCTACTACTACTCCTGCTACTGTTTTTGCTGTTGCTGCTGCTGCTACTGCTTTTACTACTACTGCAACTGCTGCTGCTGCCACTACTTCTACTTCTACGACTACTACAATAACAGCCCCAATTACAATTCCACATGAGCTACTACTTCTGCCAATAACTGCAACATCACGCTTCACCACAGCTGATTGTTTCTCTTCGTCCCGTAGGCTATCTCCAATATACACATCCTCCTCTTCTCCTCCCCTCTTTTAAGCATTTTTTTTTATAGAGACCAAAAATGATTTCAGGTGTGTACTCGCATAATATGAACCCCCCCCCCCCCCCCCCTTCCTTCACCCTTTATGCCCCCTATTTTGCACCCTCTAACCCCGTCTTGATTTTGTCGTCACCAGTCCCTTTGGTAAGAATGGATGAAAAGTACACGACGGCCCCATGATTTAACAAAGTACTGGGGAAAGTAAAGTAATTTCAACTGTCCCTTCTATCATTTCACCCTGTCATGACGTTATTTACACCAGGGTCGGGGACAGCGAAATCGCCGGTGGTAATCGATAAGTCTTTGTCAAGGTAAATTACAGCTTTTCGATTCGGTCCTTAATCCCGAACAAAAGAAGCACTTTGAACCGTGAGCAAATTGATACATCTCCTGCCTCGAGCGAAATTCAGACCAGACAGTAGAAGCAAAAACAATGGAACCGAAAACGACTTAAAGAATAACAGAAATTGAAACAGAGATAGAAAGTGACATGTACCGTGAGCAAGACGCCCATAACCGCGGAGAATAGCGGATAATAAATAGAGATAGCTGTGCCCTTGTTCACGGAGATGACATCCCATAGCCAGCGGTCCGTAGTAATGATCCTTAACATCAGTGGAGTCAGACATGCGTAAATAATCGACCAACAACGGCATCGCTGTAAAAAAGGATGGAGTTGTATCCATGGCTAAAAATGGAAAACGCAAACAAAATGCAATAGTTTTATAGCATAGCTCATAAAGGCCCTATAATAACACGTCTATGGGGCTTGGGTTATTATTATTGGACCATCCCCTAGTCCGTTTGTTTCTTTGTTTAAGTTTGGTTTTGAGTCTCTTAATGAACCGATCCCCGTCTGTCTGTCTGTCTGTCTGACTGTGTGTCCGTCCGCTGTACGTCCCTCCGTCCGTCCGCCCAACTGTCCGTCTGTCCGTCCGTCCGTCCGTCTGTCTGTCTGTCTGTCTGTCCGTATGTCTGTCCGTATGTCTGTCTGTCTGTCTGTCTGTCTGTCTCTCTCTCTCTCTCTCGCATTCTCTCTCCCTCTCTCTCTCTCTGCATCCCCCTCTCCTCTCTCTCTCTCTTTCTCTCTCTGTCTCTCTGTCTCTCTTTCTTTCTCTCTCTCTCTCTCTCTCTCTCTCTCTCTCTCTCTCTCTCTCTCACTCTGTTTCTCCTTGTTTGTCTACCCCCCCCTCCCTCTAACCCGTCGTTCAAAAGAAAGCAACTAATCACATTTCTATTTTTTTTAAAATCCCCAACAGCTACAAACAACTGTAATTGTAGTCAACAGAATTAAGGTGGCACACTGCACCCACTCCGCCTATCACGGCCAGCCTCGGTTGAG